AACCACAATTTGGATTGCAAAACGGTTTCCAAACATAACATGCTTATAAGCAAACAGAGCGGCTCGACGAGACGAATCCAACGAGCCCAAGATCACCAAAATCCGACATCACTAAGACATTCAAATGTCCATCAAATGGTTCATGATCATGAGATTCAACATTGGCCGTCCATCCAACCACTCCCCATTTACCCTTGATCTTTCATCTATTTACGGGTCATGCCACTCCAAAAAACTAGAAATGGATCCCTCATTTCTCTTGAAAGAGGTACCGGAGCAAGAAGAGAAGAATGAAGAAGATAAGGAAGAAGCTCCTCCTCGACCACCACCTGACTTCTGCCGGACCACCACTGGAGGCCCTCACCTCCACCAGATCACCGCCTAACGTGGTTACTCCGCCGGACCACCACTGGAGGCCCTCACCTCCGCTGGACCACCGCCTGACGTCGTTGCTTTGTCGGTCCACCACCTGAGGCCCTCACCTATGTTGGACCACCGCCTACGTCGTTGCTCCGCCGGACCACCATCTGAGGCCCTGACCTCCACGGACCACCGCCTGACGTCGTTGCTCTGCCGGACCACCATCTGAGGCCCTGACCTCCACGGACCACCGCCTGACGTCGTTGCTCTGCCGGACCACCATCTGAGGCCCTGACCTCCACGGACCACCGCCTGACGTCGTTGCTCTGCCGGACCACCATCTGAGGCCCTGACCTCCACGGACCACCGCCTGACGTCGTTGCTCTGCCGGACCACCATCTGAGGCCCTGACCTCCACGGACCACCGCCTGACGTCGTTGCTCTGCCGGACCACCATCTGAGGCCCTGACCTCCACGGACCACCGCCTGACGTCGTTGCTCTGCCGGACCACCATCTGAGGCCCTGACCTCCACGGACCACCGCCTGACGTCGTTGCTCTGCCGGACCACCATCTGAGGCCCTGACCTCCACGGACCACCGCCTGACGTCGTTGCTCTGCCGGACCACCATCTGAGGCCCTGACCTCCACGGACCACCGCCTGACGTCGTTGCTCTGCCGGACCACCATCTGAGGCCCTGACCTCCACGGACCACCGCCTGACGTCGTTGCTCTGCCGGACCACCATCTGAGGCCCTGACCTCCACGGACCACCGCCTGACGTCGTTGCTCTGCCGGACCACCATCTGAGGCCCTGACCTCCACGGACCACCGCCTGACGTCGTTGCTCTGCCGGACCACCATCTGAGGCCCTGACCTCCACGGACCACCGCCTGACGTCGTTGCTCTGCCGGACCACCATCTGAGGCCCTGACCTCCACGGACCACCGCCTGACGTCGTTGCTCTGCCGGACCACCATCTGAGGCCCTGACCTCCACGGACCACCGCCTGACGTCGTTGCTCTGCCGGACCACCATCTGAGGCCCTGACCTCCACGGACCACCGCCTGACGTCGTTGCTCTGCCGGACCACCATCTGAGGCCCTGACCTCCACGGACCACCGCCTGACGTCGTTGCTCTGCCGGACCACCATCTGAGGCCCTGACCTCCACGGACCACCGCCTGACGTCGTTGCTCTGCCGGACCACCATCTGAGGCCCTGACCTCCACGGACCACCGCCTGACGTCGTTGCTCTGCCGGACCACCATCTGAGGCCCTGACCTCCACGGACCACCGCCTGACGTCGTTGCTCTGCCGGACCACCATCTGAGGCCCTGACCTCCACGGACCACCGCCTGACGTCGTTGCTCTGCCGGACCACCATCTGAGGCCCTGACCTCCACGGACCACCGCCTGACGTCGTTGCTCTGCCGGACCACCATCTGAGGCCCTGACCTCCACGGACCACCGCCTGACGTCGTTGCTCTGCCGGACCACCATCTGAGGCCCTGACCTCCACGGACCACCGCTTGACGTCGTTGCTCCGCTGGACCACCACCCGAGGCCCTGACCTCCACGGACCACCGCCTGACGTCGTTGCTCTGCCGGACCACCGTTGCTCTGCTGGACCACCACCTGAGGCCCTCGCCTCCGCCGGACCACCGCCTGACGTCGTTGCTCAGACGGACCACCACCTAAGGCCCTGACCTCCGCCAAGCCACCGCTTGACGTCATTGATCCACCAGACCACCACCTGAGGCACTGACCCCCGCCGGGCCACCGCATGATGTCGTTGCTCCGCCGGACCACCGCTTGAAGCTCTCACCTCCACCAGGCCACCACCTGATGCTCAGACTTCCACCATACCACCACTTGAGGCCCCGAGCTCCACCAGGACACCACCTGACGCCCAGAGTTCTACCATACGCCACTTGAGGCCCAAAATTCTATCGGACCACAATGTGAGATTCGGATTTCTCTCGGGCCACCACTTGATGCCGAGAGTTCTCCCAGAGTACCGCCCTTCTACTATGATCTTTCTGACCCAGTCTCCTGCCGACTACGGTCTTTTCAACCTCCGTCGCCTACTATGGTCCTTCAGACCTCCATCACCAGACAACGATCTTTCGGACCCCAGTCTCCTACTGACTATTGTCCTTCCGATCTCCATCGCCTAATATGGTCCTTTCGACCTCCATCACCAGACAACGGTCTTTATGAACCCGGTCTCCTGTCAACTACGGTCTTTCGGACCTTTGTCTCATGCCAACTACGGCCCTTCCGACCTCCGTGGCCTACTACGGTCCTTCCGTCCTCCATCAACAGACAATTGTCTTTCTAACCCCAGTCTCCTGCCGACTACAGTCCTTCCGACCTCCGTCGCATATTATGGTCCTTCCAACCTCCATCACCAGACAAGGGTTTTTCTGACCCCCAGTCTCCTGCCGACTACGGTCCTTCCGACCTCTGTCGCCTACTATGGTCCTTCCGACCTCCATCACCAGACAATGGTCTTTCTGACACCGGTCTCCTATCGACTACGGTTCTTCCGACCTCTGTCACTTACTATGGTCCTCCGACCTCCATCACCAGACAACGTCTTTCTAACCCTGGTCTCCTGCCAACCACGATCTTTCAAACCTCTGTCCCTTGCCAACTATGGTCCTTCCAGCCACCATCACCTACAATGGACCTTCTAACCAAACAAGCATGTCTATGTTGATTATTATAACTCGCACCATGTAATGCGCTCTATAAGATGTACAGTTGTAATCAAGCCAAGGCCTTCTCCCTAAGAAGGGCCTCATTTGTAATCGACTGCAAATATTAGTGGATTCATTCAAACTGGTTTTTCCCCCTTTTCAGGGGTTTCCACGTAAAAACTCTGGTGTCTCTTATAAACGCTACACCCTCTCTCTTATATGATTGTGTGCTGGATTTTTGCACGACATTAAGACGTTAAACTATATATTTCTCTACCGCCGCAAATACTCTAGGATGCAACAAGGCTTATCACAATGGTGAAGAATTAGCATAATAGTAGCTTCAAGAAGAAAAAATTTCATTTGTAAGGATATTTTTTATTAGCCATGTAGAATAGGGGTATATCTTCATGGTGGAGAAATTCATCTTCTAGAGGGGGCTATTTGGAGAACTAGTCTAATAATCCGAGATAAATCACTCATCTCAAGCTCACAAGAAACTTGTATATAGTGATCAACAAGTCCTACTATCCCAGTCCTACTAAAGAGCTTATCTCTGCGGAGCAAATTTGATACTCCTCAACAAGATAGCAACTTGGAACTCGCTACGTATTCAAACCACTAATTTAGTCACTCAATCTCCCTCAGAGCGACCTTAGACACTCTCACCTAGGGAGACCATCCTCATCAGATCCAGGTACAGTAAAACGCTCATTCACAGAACCATCATCCTATTTCAATGCGACCATCAAAATCACAGCTCTCCATCCCCACAACAAGACCTAACTCACCTATCTCTATTCTCAATAATTCTAAGATCTCCCACACAAGTCACTAACGATATTAGTAAGCTTGTTTCTCTCCAATCTCCTTTCATCTTAGCACTTTCTCAAAGACTCGCCCTAGCACATTGGCCCTCATCCATTTGACAATAACTCATCAAAGCCTTCTGACTTAAGCATCCTTTAACCAATCAGGATGCGACATATATCTAGTACAATTTTATACAAGTATTTAGTATGGTATTGTACTTTTGTATTACGTATAGCATTTCATATAGCCCACATAACTCTTGAGGAAAAACTTGGAGAATATTTTAAATGATTTTAGTCGATATGCTATTAGGCTTTGTTTGGGACGGCTTTTTTACTGCTTTCTAAAACGGAGTTTTAGTACAAAATTTTTTATTTTTGTAATAAAACTCCGTTTTAGAAAGCAATAAAAAAACCATCCCAAACGAAGCCTTAATCTAAGATCTACAACTTTCTAGAACATTCTAAATTACTTTCTTTTACAGTATTAATTGTCTCCATTTTCACAGGTCAAGCTCGTGCGCACACAAGTTCGACCTGCTAATAAAATATTGTATCTCCAATGAATAAATTTGTATCCAACCAGAGAAATTTGAATAAAAACTTGAAGAAAAAAGTGATGAATCTATTCCTCATCAATAAAACACAAAAACATAACTTGCGGGAATGTTTAGTTCTCTATTTCCAAGAATGCTTGCACTTTTGAATCCATTTAGATAGGCTTTCATATAAAATAATGAATGGAATGCTTTTAAAATCAGACATATTTTAACTATTAAGTCGAGAAGAAAAAAATAAAACTTTTATTATCACAGTCAAATTTTTTTTTAGACCAATTTTTATTTTCTAAATCAATTTTTTTAGTTTTGAATTATACTGAAAAAGCGCTTTAAGAAATAATAAGAAAGTCGTCTCAAATAAAGCCTATTGATTTCTAAAATATTATTTTTGTATAAAAAATTTTTGAACTAAATTATTATATATATATACAAAATAATAGTGTAATATTAAATTAACATTGGCAGTTTTTATTTGGACAAATATAAGCGAGTGTTTTAATTATTTTTAGTCTTAACAAAAAAAATAAGATTTTATTTGAAATTTTTTTTTAAAACTTTTCGAATTTGAAGCTCGGCCAATTAGCCCCCCGCACCTCAGCATTTTTTTAATATCAAGCGATGGCTGGACAAATTAATTGACCAACTGCCCGCCCCCGCCTTCCAACCTCTTCACCGGTACTGTCACTGTCGTCTTCCCCAATCGTCAATGCCCACTACACCTACGTCACTCTGATAACTCGACTCAGTCGCCTAAGACCCCCGTTATAACATTCAAACGGACTTCCCAAACTCCCCATGGCTCGTCATGGCCCTAGTCCTCCGGCACACCCTTCACTTCCTTGTTCTACTGCTTCCACTCTTCCATCATCTCACCGCCGCCGTCCAAGTCTCCACCGAGTTCCTATATCCCAACTTCACCGCCTCCAGCATAGGATACATAGAAAAAGATAACGTCTTTCTCACCTCCCGCTCCTCCACCTTCTCTGCTATCCTCTCATCTGATTCCCCGCAATCCCCATTCATTTTCTCCATCCTCCACACATCGACCTCCACTGTCGTCTGGTCGGCGAACTTCGCCTCCCCAGCGCCTTACACCTCCGTGCTCTCCCTCTCTGCGGCCGGCCTCTCCATCACCCTCTCCAATGGCTCCCTCCTCTGGTTCACCCCGCGCTTTCCCCGCCCCATAGCCGCCCTCTGCCTACTTGACTCCGGTAACCTCATCCTCCTCGACGATGTCAACAAATCTATGTGGCAATCCTTTGAACACCCTACGGATACCCTTCTCTCCTCACAACGCCTCCCAGTCGGCGCATCCCTCTCCACCCCCAACGGCGATTACCGTCTCCTTGTCACCGCTGACGATGTCGTCCTGCTCTGGGTACTTGGCGATCAGCAGTACTGGCGCCTGTCGGCTGATCTTCGTTCGATGAAATACCTCGATGATCCTGCCTCCTACATGGCTGCCAATGAGTCCGGGCTTTTTCTCATCTCAGAAGCGGGCCGAGCGTTGTACGTTGTTAAACTTCCAAGGACGAATCTTAAGTTCATGAAATTGGAATCCGACGGCCGGTTTCACTTAATGGGTTACTCCGGCAACGGCTCCAGCCTTACGGAAGAGCTCGTCGCACCGATCAGCGCTTGCGATCTTCCGTTATCTTGCGGAGCGCTCGGCGTATGCACGTTGCTGAGCAGAGGTGTTGCCTGCAACTGCCCGACGTCGTTTGCGGGGTCCGCTGACGGTGGATGCTCGCCGGCCGATAGCTCTGCCCGAGCAACTTTATCCAATTGCGCCACGGAACCATCTTATCGGAGCTTGGAAAGTGGAGTTGAATATTTCGCTAATAAATTTTTGAAGCCTGCGAGCTCCGGCGGCAACGTCTCCTCGTGCCGCAGCCTTTGCACGGCGAACTGTTCTTGTCTAGCTTTTTTCTACAAGAATTCCTCCACATCTTGTTTTCTAGTAAATAACCAGCTCGGGTCCTTTCTTAGCCCTAGAAGCCAAGGGGTTTTTGACAGCAGCGAAGGATACATTAAGATTATGGCTCAATCACAACTGGATTCCGGCCGAAGCCGCAATCTTATCCCGATACTCTTGCCCTCCATCACCGTCTTGCTCGCTCTGCTTTTCGCCGGGATCTATTGGCGACGCGGCAAGAGAATTTCCAGATCCAGAAAATCCCCCAAGTTCGCAACACTGAAGCTATGGACATCAAAAACCCGTGACCGTGGTTTCGCTGGCGCCGGCTCCATCTCCGACGAATCCGACGAGATCTCTATCCCGGACCTTCCGACCCGATTCACTTACGAGGAGCTCATCGCGGCGACCAACAACTTCCGCACCAAGATCGGCTCCGGAGGATTCGGCGAGGTGTTCAAAGGCGATCTCCCCGACAAATCCTCCGTCGCCGTGAAGCGCATCAAAACCGGCACCAGCGGCATCCAGGGTAAGAAGAAGGAATTCATCACAGAGATCGCCGTTATCGGCAGCATCCACCACGTAAATCTAGTGCGTCTCCGGGGTTTCTGCGCCGAGGGCCGTCGCCGCCTACTGGTCTACGATTACATGGACCGCGGCTCCCTGGACCAATCCCTCTTCGTCCCTTCCGGCCCCGTGCTGGAATGGCAGGAGCGGATGGACATTGCCGTCGGCGTCGCGCGGGGGCTTGCCTACCTCCACTCCGGCTGTGATCGCAAGGTCATCCACTGTGACGTCAAGCCGGAGAACATACTCCTCCATTCCAGCGGCGGCGTCAAGATCTCTGACTTCGGGATGGCCAAACTGATGAGCACGGATCAGTCCGGGCTCTTCACAACGATGAGGGGGACACGGGGGTATCTCGCACCGGAGTGGCTCACCAATTCAGCCATCTCCGATAAGACGGATGTGTACAGCTTTGGATTGGTGCTTCTGGAGATCATTCGAGGGAGAAGGAATTGGTCGATGGTGGCTGAAGGGTGGTCGATCGGGGGCACCGCCTTTGGCGAGATGGGCTATTATCCCATGATTGCATTGGAAATGCACGAGAAGGGGAGGTATTTGGAGCTGGCGGATCCGAGGCTGGAGGGGAAAGCGACGGAGGAGGAGTTGGGGAGAGTGGTGAGGGTTGCGCTGTGCTGCTTGCATGAAGAGCCGGCGATGCGGCCGACGATGGACGGAGTGGCGGCGATGCTCGACGGAACTATTGAGGTTGGGCAGCCGAGGCCGGAGGCGCTTGGAGTTCTGCGGGTGTATGGGAGGGGTTTTCTTTGCTCCGGCGAGAGTGGGAAGGGGAGCAGCAGCAGCAGCAGCAGCAGCTACTCGGGTTTGTCTTACCCATATATCTCCTCCCAGGAGGTGTCAGGGCCGAGATAAGTCATTTTGTTTAGAAAACTGTAACTATAATTTGGATTAGATTAGGACTATTTTCTTGAAAATAAAATTTTTGTATCATTTAGATTTTATTTGGAATAATTTTTTATTATTAAATTTTTTTAATTAAAAAAAATTATTAGGTTAGAAAGTTACCTATTATAATTGGTTTATAAAATAACTTTTTTATAAAAAAATTTATAATCACTCTTATAAAAAGTTGTAATCATCTCAAACAAGAGAACTTATTTTGTGCGGATACGGATACCATCTGAAAGCAAATCAAAATGAGTCATATCACTCATTTGTTGTGTATCATGACTGTGTACTGCGTGATGTGGTGCGTCTGATTCGTCTCCAGACGGTTTGATGTCCACATATAATAAGTTCTCCCCAAACGAACCCTTTGAGGGGAACGAAAAATATCAAAACTTCCATCATTTGCCTTCATGAACTAAATAGACAAATTTCAAGAGGAACTCATTTCATTGAATCGGTGGTTTAAGGTTTCATTTGCAATAGCTTTTGGCCCCTAATTTTTTTCCTTAAAATTTTTTTCTACTAAAAATTATTTAAAAAAAAATTATCTCAAACAAAATAAGAGCAATGAAATTTCTGATGCTTCCTCCAAAAGCAATTTTTTAGTGTCAATTTAGGCTTAGTTTGGGACAGCTTTTTTACTGCTTCTTGAAGCAGTTTTTTAGTATAAAATTTAAAATTTATATACTAGAAAGCAACTTCAAGAAGCAGTAAAAAAGCCATCTCAAACGAAGCCTTACTCATTGGTAAATAAGGCAAATTAAAAAATAATATGTTCTTATCAGTATAAATATTTTATTCTATGTTTGTCATTTTAAGTAAGGCTAGTTCTATTATTATTATTATTATTATTATTATTATTATTATTAGTGAAGAAATATATCTGTTTGACTACCGGGCGTGTTCGGAGCCCAATGAAAATGCGCCACATCACCTCCTACTCGGTACTGATCAATACCAAGCAGTACAGAGCTCGATATTGCTCAGTACCGAGCTCAGTACTGCTCAGTACTCAGTACTTCACAGTACCAAGCTCAGTACTGTGAATACCGAACGTAAGTTGTGTCCGATGACCTCACCCAATAATTTCCCGATATATTGACGGTTCATTTGGGACAGCTGCAATTATTAGTAAAGTAGGTCGTAAATTTATTGTATATAAAACTATTTTAAGAAGTTGATGTACATAAATCGATAAATTTTATTTAAATAATATAATTGCCTATCTATAGTGCTGTAGATGTATACGTATAAAATATTGTGATACCCTTATATATTTTGAGAAGAAAAAAATATATATATTTTTGAGGGATTTACATACATACCACTATATACTATTCTATTTAATATCTAACACCTAAAATTTTAATATTTAATACATTCATTTTCATATCAAATATGAGTGGCCTACTTGATATTAAAATAATATAAGGTGTTATATACATAATATAAAAGTTTTAGGAATTATATATGAAATAGAGTAGTTTAAAGTGGTATGTATGTAAATTCCCCATTTTTGAAATGTATATAATACCAAAATAACAAATTAAAATTAAAATTTTATCCATTTAAACAATGTATTTTATGACTTTTAAATATCAAATATTTTTTTTTGTGACAAAGTAATATCATACATTAAAATTATCTGGAAAAAGAAGTTATGATATTTGATATTACTTCAAAAAAATGTTTTAATAATAATAATAATAATAGTATAACTGATACATTTTTCAGATTTAATTAAAATAAAAATTAAGTATGTTGTATTAATTACAATTTCATTGTAAATAAATACAAAATTAAAATTGTTTTAAAGGCAAATCTGTGTATACTAACACTTTTAATCAATCTTAAGCCTTTGTATTTAGGTGACAGATTTATATAAAATTATTTTATCTTAAAAACTAAAGTGAATCAATACAAAACAAACAAAAGAATTTATATTTAAGTGAAGAATGGGCTATTTTTATATAACTAGGCTCGGGCAATCTATAGTGGGCTGGCATGCAACTACATGGGCCGATTTGGATAGAGATTTCAATTTTCGTAGGCTTTGAGTGGGCCATGGGCAATCGTAGAAATGAGATGAAATTGTTTTTCACTAATATTAATACGGAAAATTACATGATTATTTTCGAAAAACATTTGAGTTATAATGGACTTCAAAGCATTGAGCTTACTTTCAAATGGTATAATATACTCAAAGTAAATTTCCTTGATTTTAAAATTCATTCTTGTTAGAACCTGAATGAAGATTCTTGATAGCTCATCTTGAGCTCTTCTTGCAAGAGATCTCGAGCTCTTCTTGCAAGAGAGAAGAGAGAGAGAGAAGGGAAGGGAGAGGGAGGAGAAAGAATGCACAATTTGGAGGAAATACAACTAAGCATTATTCAGATATTTCCCCATATATTACATCATATACACTCACTATTTATAGAGATTTACATAGATGTGGTAGTCTGCAGGAATAACATAATATAAAACTAAATCAATTCATAACAATCTCCACCTTGATTTAGTTTTTAAAAAATAAAAACAAAAAACCACTTGATCACAAGAACTTGAACTTGTTGCAATCCGACCGATCGCCCTGGACACTCGTGCACGCTCGGACCTGCGACTTCACACAACCACCCGTCCAATTCCAAGTTCTCGACAATCTTGCCTCCCCGATGTTCTTGATTCTTCAACAAGCTCCTGTAATTGTTGAGGCATTCATCTGCCACCACCATTATCTTGAATCGAGGCTCCTCTATCTGTGGACATGCCTCCGCCAAGTTGAACCTTCAGAGCTTCTGTGCAAATAGAAATAGTCTAACAAAGGCCTATCGTATGCTTCTCTTCATGCGAGCAAGATCTGAACTCCTGCCCATTTGGCTAGTATATTCTTCTCCAAGTCAGAAGCTTTAGTAATGTCAACTTCCCCATTTAGTTGGGACCAACAAGACCGTACCTTTTATTTGAACAAGGAGCGATATACTCCTTCATACGAGATTTCTTCCACACCTACACTATCTCTCGTCCGAGCCCCTACTTTCGGCCGAACTTCCTACACCGTGCAAGCACTTCGACCAAACAACCTTTATAACTTCACCTCCCATGTGGAGACCCAAACAGTCATGCCTGACCCGACGTAGTCCGCATGTGTCTCTTGAAAACCTTCCAATCGAGGAATCAGGCCACGAAAATGGCTCCATCATGCCTCTCCGACTTCCCTCAATTAGGGAGATCCATCCGCACCTTAACCGGCCAAAGCCATGCTCCAGCTCGCTGAGACCTTCTTTGCTCACTCCCGTAAAGAAAAGTGGTTGCTTATCTAGATTCACTCGAACATCTCTGGCATTTCTTGACCGATGTTTTCATACATGCCTCCCGATTGAGGCAACTACGGGAACCACAAGAACCCCACGAAAAACTCCGTTCGATTTCTGCCAACCCGTGATCAAGCCTTTTTCGCTCACATGAACAACTCCATGTGAGCAAGCACGCATGCAACTACATGGGCCGATTTGGATAGAGATTTCAATTTTCGTAGGCTTTGAGTGGGCCATGGGCAATCGTAGAAATGAGATGAAATTGTTTTTCACTAATATTAATACGGAAAATTACATGATTATTTTCGAAAAACATTTGAGTTATAATGGACTTCAAAGCATTGAGCTTACTTTCAAATGGTATAATATACTCAAAGTAAATTTCCTTGATTTTAAAATTCATTCTTGTTAGAACCTGAATGAAGATTCTTGATAGCTCATCTTGAGCTCTTCTTGCAAGAGATCTCGAGCTCTTCTTGCAAGAGAGAAGAGAGAGAGAGAAGGGAAGGGAGAGGGAGGAGAAAGAATGCACAATTTGGAGGAAATACAACTAAGCATTATTCAGATATTTCCCCATATATTACATCATATACACTCTCTATTTATAGAGATTTACATAGATGTGGTAGTCTGCAGGAATAACATAATATAAAACTAAATCAATTCATAACAATCTCCACCTTGATTTAGTTTTTAAAAAATAAAAACAAAAAACCACTTGATCACAAGAACTTGAACTTGTTGCAATCCGACCGATCGCCCTGGACACTCGTGCACGCTCGGACCTGCGACTTCACACAACCACCCGTCCAATTCCAAGTTCTCGACAATCTTGCCTCCCCGATGTTCTTGATTCTTCAACAAGCTCCTGTAATTGTTGAGGCATTCATCTGTCACCACCATTCTCTTGAATCGAGGCTCCTCTATCTGTGGACATGCCTCCGCCAAGTTGAACCTTCAGAGCTTCTGTGCAAATAGAAATAGTCTAACAAAGGCCTATCGTATGCTTCTCTTCATGCGAGCAAGATCTGAACTCCTGCCCATTTGGCTAGTATATTCTTCTCCAAGTCAGAAGCTTTAGTAATGTCAACTTCCCCATTTAGTTGGGACCAACAAGACCGTACCTTTTATTTGAACAAGGAGCGATATACTCCTTCATACGAGATTTCTTCCACACCTACACTATCTCTCGTCCGAGCCCCTACTTTCGGCCGAACTTCCTACACCGTGCAAGCACTTCGACCAAACAACCTTTATAACTTCACCTCCCATGTGGAGACCCAAACAGTCATGCCTGACCCGACGTAGTCCGCATGTGTCTCTTGAAAACCTTCCAATCGAGGAATCAGGCCACGAAAATGGCTCCATCAGGCCTCTCTGACTTCCCTCAATTAGGGAGATCCATCCGAACCTTAGCTGACCAAAGCTATCCTCTAGCTCACTGAGACCTTCTTTGCTCACTACCGTAAAGAATAGTGGTTGCTTATCTAGATTCACTCTAACATCTCTAGCATTTCTTGACCGATGTTTTAATACATGCCTCCAGATCGAGGCAGCTACGGGAACCACAAGAACCCCACGAACAACTCCGTTCAATTTCTGCCAACCCGTGATCAAGCCTTTTTCGCTCACATGAACAACTCCATGTGAGCAAGCACGTCGGCACCACCAACTCCTCTCTTCTTTCTTGGACAGTACACCTTCCTCCTTCCTCGATCCCCTCAATGAGGCTCTAAT